GAGAGAGAGAGAGAGAGAGAGAGAGAGAGAGAGAGATTAGAGTTGCTATATTGGTAAAAATATTTATAGTATGATAATGAAAATGCTAATACTGTAAAAATAATCAAATATAAATAGTACACTTAATAGATTAATAAATTATACAATTAAATCAAATTAAAACATAACTAGTTTGCTTATTAATAACTTTATGAATTGACATTGCGCCTGATAAAACAAAACAATAATAAAATAATATCTGCTAACCTACTAAAGTAGTGCCGCCGGCAATCATATACGGTATCACCAATTGTTGGCGTCTATACGTGTAATCAATGGGCGCTTCGGTAGTGACTGAGGCGAGTGTCGTGCCGTCCGTCGGCTCGGCATCGGTGCTAACGAAAGGTCGGGCCAACGCGGGCGCCAGTATTGAGCCCAAGCCGTACATCATTGCGCCTAACATTAACAACGATGGACTCTTAGTGTCCCACATCTCGATCAGCCAAACGGCGTTACTGCTGTCAAAACAGCCGTTTCCGATCGAGCTCAAAAACATACATAATATGGCCAAGTACACATTTGGACACAGGGGCATTAATAGGATAAATACGCCCAACATGGCTGTGGTAACAGTGATGGCCAGTTGCCGGTTCACCCACTTGTATAGAAACCCGACTGTATAGATAGTGGTATATTAATTAATATTTGTTTTAAAATAATATGTTGATTAAATAATTGATATAGTTTACTAAAAAACAATTGCATTTACTCAGTGACCCGGCTATATACCCCAAACTTTGAGCTGTGTTAACTAATTGTATGCGCGGCATGGTAGTTTCAAACACGTTCATCATATCAACAGTTGTCGGTGAAAATATGCTTCCGCATAGACCCTGATACAATTAAATAATATTAAATATAGTAGAATATTCAGTAATAATTTTTGAATTTATTATATTAATTTAAAATTTAATAATAACAATAATAAAATACTTACCAGGTTAATATACATAACAAGTATGCAAATTGTGTACACGTATTTATCCCAACATTTAATCTTATTAATATTTACTTCATTTGTATTTTCTAAACCATTATTAATATTGTCAATTATTTTTTGGTTATCACCCATCTTGGTTAGTGTACCTTTATTTACATCATTACAATCACCACAATTTAATTGCTTATTAACATTGTCATTCATATTTGCAGAATATAATTGTTTTATTTTACAAATATAACTAAAACATATTGATCTAATAAAACAATTATTATTTTATTAATTGATTGTTACATAGGTTCATTATACATTATTTAATAATGTAATAAGGCTTTGTTCACAAAGTACTTACGCACTTGGGGGGAGGGGGAGTGTCGGCCAAAACGAACTTTTGCGAACGAGGGGAAGGGGGGGTATAGAGACTTTATGAACGTTTGCATTTAAATCATTTGATGAATTTAAGGGATTAGTTTTTATAAGCGTTAATCTTCTGATAACAACTATATCTAACAACTGTTCCTATTAATAACAGCTTTTATTCAAATCGATAACACATTTTGAATAAATATATTACTTTTGATGAGAAATAATTTTCTCGGGGAGGGGGGAGGGGGTGATAGGGAAATGCGAACGTACTTTTTTTTAATTACTACATGCGAACAAGTGCGAACATAAGGGGGGGAGGGGGTCTATATTTTCCAAAAAGTCCGCACGTACTTTGTGAACAACGCCTAATTGTATGTACTTTATTTCAATTTGTACTTGACATTCAATTAAGCACCTATGTGTTTGCAAGCTTAATAAAAAATTTTATCAAGGGATTAGCAGCTTACACAGAACAATTAATTGCAAAAAACATACAGTATTTACTACAATACTTTTTTTTGGCAATAAATGTTTTGTGTAAATTGTCTAATTTAAAAATAATAAATTTTACATGCATTGACATTGTCCCTAGATATATTATTAATATTTAATAAACAAATTTTTCTATTATTATAAAATACTAAATAAATAATTGTTACAGTATATTTATAAAAATAAAATACCCCACGCATTACCAGTTAATAACAATGCATTAATTATCAGTTAAGTTGACATATCTATAAAATATCTACGATGGAAATAATTAACTTACTTTATATAACAATAGTCGTGTATAATATGATGTAGATTAACAGTCACATGAATACCTGTTAGTTATTTTAGTAATTATGCATTATTAATCCACCATGCATTATTTTAAAGACTTTGTTAACAACTATCAATAAGTAAATTATTTATAATAATTTAACTATTGTATAATAAGTTTCATTAATGTTTAATGTTCACTTAATTATTAAGTTTATAAAAAGTTATTAAAAAACTATTTTGTAATGTTTGCAGAGTTTTATTACAATTTATTAATTTAAATTAAATTATCAAACTGTATCAATTAATTGAATGAATATAATACATAATCAAATCATATTTAAAGTAATCAACAATAAATATTATTCGTAATTTAATCATTAATTATTTAAACATTAATTATTTAAAACATTATTTACCAAGCATGATAATTAAAACAATTATTATGTTATAACTTATAAATGTTTAGGATTTCGTCGAGACATACGGACGACAATCATTAATATGACAAACACTAATATAGTGAATGCCAAATAACCCATTTCTAGGTATAGAAACACCTCGGTGTGTTTTTCAATAAAAGGTCCGATTATAAATGGTGAGCAGAGATTAAAGAACATAGATGAGATTGAAAATATCGAGGTAATCTTGTTGGTCAATTTGACACAATTCTCGCCTAACACCCATAACGAGGTCCACATTGCGCTAAAACCAAACCCTAATTTAAATGATTGAATAGAGAATTTGATTATTAGAAAAATGTACATGACTATTATATTTATAGTAACTATCAAAAAGTAATTGGTATTTATAAAGAGCATACCTATGAGCCCATTGGCGATCCAAATAGCAATCATCGACTCTTTGCCAAATTGCAAAACACATATCGATATAACAATTATAACCGAGTGATAGGTTATCATTATTTCGGGCTTTACTTTTAGCGACACATACGCGCAGATCAAACGGCTCACCGTATATGTCGAGGTCATCAAGGTCATTAAATCCGCTGCTTTTTGACTGGATATACCCACCTTGGGCAAATAGCGAAAATAAGTAGGACTATTGCCAAAATATGCCCCTTCCAGCGCGTTATACGAGGTAAGATTAAGTGCTATTAACATCACGATTAATATTTTATACGTTTTTGTCGGCTCAACAAATGCCGGTGAATTGTGCTCAATGTTTGTGTCCACTGATGAGTTAGCTTCGTGATTTTTATCATCAAAATTATCAACACCACTTATTTGTTTCTCAGGCTGTTTATATCGTCTAAATATAAACATCAATAGGAAAATAATCGGAACTGAAAGTGAGTGAGTGAGCGAGAGAGAGAGAGAGAGAGAGAGA